TCATCCTGACCCAGTTTGACCCGGCAAAAGGGCGCGTGTGCCGGCATGGCAGTAAAGGCTTAACCCACAACTCTGGTAGGAATAGCATTCCTATTTAACCTACTGACTCACTTATCACCAATTGTTACCCACTTTGGCAGGATAAATAGGAATTTTGATCGCATTAGGCTTTGGTAACTTTTGGTAACTAACGAGTTTATTGTCCAGTTCCTGACAGGAACTAGTGAGTGAGTCATCCTGACCCAGTTTGACCCGGCAAAAGGGCGTATCAATGCTACGGCCGCTCTCTCTGCTACTTGCTGTGGGCAAGAAAGGTAGTCATAATTTGGACAACATGGCCCATTCATTTTTATTAAAAGTAGTTTGCTTCAAAGGTCATAAATCTTCCTTACATCCACCATTTATTTATTAAATTTAATTTATTACCTCACATTTATTATTATCCTAAAATCGTATTTTCGTCATGCAATTTATGACGTTTATTCAAGATTTATTTCGAGCTTTCTTGATGGAATTATCTTTAATGGATAATAAATTGAGTTCCTTATGATTGTTTATACTACGATTATTTTCTTGATAAATAAATTAAATAAATTAACTTTGAATCAGTCATCAACTTGTAAATGGGACAAATCAGCCATCTACTTTTAGGAATCAGGCAGTTACCCGTCATCTCTAAATTCCATCTTTAATCCACACAACCTTTAATTATAATACTGTTAAACATTAGCTACCAATATATTCCTTATACAAGCACGAACCTTATCTGATAATAAATATAATAAAGTACTTCCAGTTGTTAATATTAATTTACATAACAGTCGTAGCTTAACTACTTGGTTATGGGAAACATGGATAGTATAGTTACATGGGAAACTACCCTCAGCAAGTGACAAGCAACAGCATCTTGCATCAGCTGGCCCAAATGAGGGCAAATAGACGGAACACGTCCAACGATAACATAACGTAATATAACATAACATAACATTGCATAACATAACATAACATAACATAACATAACATAACATAAAATAATTACATCCGGGACCCGAGGGCGGGGTGACCTGCCTAGTGACGACTCGGAGACTGAGGACGACGAAGGCGGCGCATCAGCGTGACCGGGGACTAGCAAGTCCCGAACTCATCATAAGGTTATAAGGTTTAGGTCATAAGATCTCCAAATCTTAACGTTAGGAAAGCATCCTGTGTTTTATTTCTCTATAGGGGTGCCCATAAACGTGGAAAGTATTGGCCGATAGTGCCAGCGGGAAGTACTTTCCATTTAGAATATCCGGGTTATTATTGAAAGAGAAATGAAAAGTTTTCCTTTTCAATTATAAAAAGTGTGGCTAATAATTAAAAGAAATTACGTCAAATTTCGTATCAAATAGTGCTTTCTCCGTGTATTAACCTTTAAGAAGCCCCTAAACGATCANCAGGCCATGAGTACCATTAGGCAGGCCATGAGTACCATTAGGCAGGCCATGAGTACCATTAGGCAGGTCATGATTACCATTAGGCAGGCCATGATTACCATTAGGCAGGTCATAAGTACCGTTTGGCAGGCCATAAGCACCGTTTGGCAGGCCATAAGTAACATTGGGCAGGTTATTAGTCACATTGGGTAGGTCATAAGTCACATTGGGTAGGTCATAAGTCACATTGGGTAGGTCATAAGTCACATTGGGCAGATCATAAGTCAAATTAGTTTTAACATAAGTACCATTGGGTAGTTCATCAGTCAAACGGGTAGAGTCGAGGTTCGACTGGTAGTCAGGCAGTTGATAGTTGGTGGTAGTAACTTCATGATGGACCACTGGTCGCTTGGAGGCCGGAGTTGTCGACGGTTCTGCAAATTAATCAAATTTCAAATTAAAATTACGATATATGATTTTTTGGAACATTCGTACTGACAAACTGTCAATCCTATGTCTACTGATGTTAGTTCGATACCAGATCATTAAATGGTGATAGAACATGTAAGGGAGGAACACACCAACTTGAATTATCGAACTATTTCAACATCCCAATTAATGTATTAGACAGCCGAGAATTGAATAAGTAAATCGAATGGTAAAGCTGACTAGGAACAAAAAAGTTCAAAATTTACTCACTGCGGTTGTCAATCTTGGCAGCGACGGCAGTCTCAACCTTAACGGGGTTAGCCGTTGGCAGACTAGATGTCCCTGACTTGTCATGTGACAAGGTAGAAGAACCAGGACCTGGCTGGTACTTGGCAGAATTAGAACCACTGGAGAAACCTAACTCGAACTTAGCAGGGTCAAAGCCATTTGAGAAAGGGTCAAAATGAAAAGCAGGGTCAAAATTAACCGAGAAATATGGCTCGAAGTCGTCAAGGTCAGAACTAATCGAGGAATCTGGCTGGTACTTGGAAGCGTCAGAACCACGTGAGAAAACTGGAGGTGCTTGGTTTGCTGGTAGAACAGGGGATAGATCGGACGTAGGAGAAGTCTGGGCATTTGGTGTGGAGTTGTGGGATGCGCGTACAGAAGAAAGATGATCAAGCGTTTCGGAAATCCGGATCTCATTCTTTTGCCCTTCGTTTTCTTGCCCGTAGTTCTGTCCATCATTGCTATTTGCCCGCTTCCCGAGGTCGGCTACAGGCTGAGGAGCGAAGGGCTGTTCGATGGGTGCCAAAGGGACCGTCCCGAGAGACCGACCACCATGATATTCAACCGGCGTCTCTTCGACGTTGAGGCGATCGATGGCGGCGGTTGAAGTACCGATCGCTCTTGATTTTTCCATTGTGGCTGAATTTTTAAACCAGTTACAAATTTCGAATTCATGTAGCGTCTCCGTCGAGGCTTTAATTTTACCACTGCGAGAAGCGGCGGACGCCAGCATCACGAACATCAAAACGAGAAACTTCTTCATCGCGGCGATGGTCCCTGCCAAACAAATGACATTGATTGAAAAGTTATAATAAAAATTACTTATGATTATAAGTATTCATTTTCAAAACCTCGCAATGTTCGATCAGTAAAAGAAAATTTAAAACGCAATAAATTTTTTTCCAACTCGAACCCAAGTAAGAAAGAGTTCCACATATGACCATTTATTGCGTTAATGGCTGACTTATCCTATTAAAATCCATAGGACTTGAGGACAGCCCAGATAATATAGCAATAATATAGCGCTCTCAGCGTTTATTTGATCGTAGGCCTGTCTCCGAATCTTAGCATCGCAGAACATTCACAGCTTATAGCGTTTCGAACACGCAATTCACTGCTCCAAATTTTGCTTTGCTTAACCGCCCGGCCTCCTCGCCGATTCTGACCAGCAAAATGTCGCAGGTAGCTGGGATCAAACCCGTATCTTACAGCTCCAATACTGGTATTCCAAACTGTAACCACTGGGCCACCCTCATCGATAACTTCAAATTTACATCCCGATAAATAGAAGACAAGGGCCAGAAGTGCGTTGATCTTTGAATAAAGTTTCACTTATTTCTCCACGTATGTGATCAAGTCTTTCCGCTAACGATTTATCATTTGCCTGGTGCCTAAATATCGCCGGAGTCGCAGAGGCCTATTCAGGCTTCATTTCCTCTAATCTCCCACATGTTTGAAAGGGTAGTACATTTCGTACAAATTGCAAACAAGATAGAATTCTGGCAATGGTGGGTCAAATATACAAGTTGGTTCCACCCTTGCAACTTCATTTCAAAAAAATTAATCTGACAGATACTAAATGTTCAAGTTTTTTTTATCTAATATGTTCGTAACAATTCATATATTTACCACCATACTAACTCCGCCTAGTAAGCAACTTAACTTCAAAACTAAAGTAGTAAATCGGCTTAAGATTCGTACCTGGAGGAGAGATGTTGAACCCACGAGCGCCAGATCAAAACAGCCTATAAGCTCCAGGGTTGCCACATTTATTCAGGAGAAAGCGGCCAAACATGGTTGCAAAAAGTCGAAAATATCGCCAAATGGCAAATTACTTCAAATATTGAACAAAATTGAATAATTTTTGGTATATAAATTCAGTTATATCTTTGTAGCCTTCAAAAATTAATTTATTTCAAATCTTCAAATGTTAAACATGCCAATTATTTGTGATATATAGAATACATAGAGGGCGGGAACATGTAGAGGCCAAAACGGCCTGTCTCCAAGACAGTAAACTTATTCTACAAAACCTGAAGAAATGACGGCAAACGGTCACACGGTTAACGATTAACTTATAATCACGTCACTATCCTATTTATTTTTCATATTCCCTTCTTCCATGTATCGCAAATTGTCATGTTAACCATTTATAGACTTGAAATTAATTTTGGAGTCTACAAAACGCTACAATTGAATTTATATATTATATTATTTCAGTTATTTGCCATTTGGCTTTTTCTGGCCTTTTTATGTCGCCTCTGGAAGAAACGCGGCAACCCTGAAGCTTGAGGGCAGTCTCGGTCCAGCGCTCGTGAGGTTAACGCCGCTTCTCCTGGTAAGAAACTGTGACGCCTCTCCAACCTCAATTTGTGTAGAAACCTTCCATTTCCCACTAGAATTTCTGTGGAAACCTTCCATTGAACACTTGAACCTTCCGTCACACATGAATTTTTGTCGAAACCTTCCATTTCCCACTAGAATTTCTGTGGAAACCTTTCATTGAACGCTTGAACCGTCCTCCCATTGAACCTTCTGTCACACTTGAATTTTTGTGGAAACCTACCATTTCCCCCAACTTGAATAATTTCTGTAGGAAGGCGATTTCCTACTATAATTTCTCTAGAACCCCGTCATTTCCTACTATAATTTCATGAAAACCATACCATACTCTCCACCATGCACTCGGAGAAATGAGAGATACTTCGTCCAAAGAGCGATGTACTTTTTGCGCTTGTATGCGACATCCAGAACTCCCAAAGGTTGTATCAGTGCAAAGATGGACGGAATGTGTCTCGCTCCTATCTAGATTGTAAATACCGTTGAGGGACAGAGCCAGTTGGATCTAAGCATTTTGGATCTAAGCCCATGGAACTAATTTTCCTTGTACAAGTATGCTGAATTTTTTAAACCGGTCAATTCTCAGAGCTGGATCCAGTTGAAGTATTTTAGCCACCATTTCTTATAAACGATATTTAAAACCAAAGAAAACGCCCAAATACTTAATATTGCCTCCCGACGCCATGCAAGTTATCAATCTCTTCATTGATAAGCTTTATCATCTTGCGATTCGAGCAAAGTAATATTGTCATTCCTAGAATTAAGCCATTTTGGGTAGGGTGCTAAATGTTTATCCCTTTTAGAAAAGGAATACTAGATAGGTATCGAAAATGAACGAGGTATTGGAAGACAGGAACTATTACACGACCTTCCCAGTCCGTGTGGAATTCTGTAAGCTAGGTTAGTGAGTAAAGCTTCAGAAATTTTTGGGCGGATGCATGTCCATTTCTCCCTCTGGATGGTTCTGTCCCTTCTCCTGACTGATTATTTGATGAAATTGTGATGTCATCCACTCTAGACTGTGATTGGTTGTGTGATGGCCTTTCTAATATGCTATGTGTACTGGTTAATTTAATATCCCTCTAGACTACACAGTATATCGGATATTTCGGTATTCTTTGTGTGCGTTTCCGACGTTACAGTCCCAGGCCACGTTGGAGGGTCCCCTCAAAAGACCCGACTTGAATTGCAAGGCAAAGAACCTATACCGAATAAGCGGCCTCACTTCATCGGACACTCGAAACAATAATAGACTATGTCCTAGAAATCGGCTCTGTAGCAAGGCATATCTGTATCACCTGCAGAAAGCTCCGTTATTCGTACAGTCTATTTTTCTAGTGAAAGACTAGTTACGTTAAGGAATGCATGTTGGAAGCCAGTATTATCCAATACCACCGGCACTTCCGTATTTCTTCGGTGCACAAGCTTTCTTCTGAATAGATTATCCTTTGAACTTGAGTGCTTAGAGCCATAGGCGCCGTAAGCCAGCAGCCACTGTTGCAGCCAGTATAGTCTTCACGGCAGCTACACCCCAACATGCACCTACCTCCACACTTGCCCCACCTCCCCACATTGCTGCAGCCCATGAGTTTAGGTTAAGTTAGGTCCGAGAAGATCCGTTTGCATGGAAAATCGGATCTACACAATCAGATCTGCCCCAGAAGAGTGGAGTAAGACGCATGCTGGGGTGTAGATAAAGTAAATACTACACTGGCGGAAGAAGTGGCTGTGGGCATACGGAGCCGTGGCTTGAAAATCTGAGAACTGTTTTGGCTTGCGGTGTTGCTATTGTGCTCTGCGACTTCATAGCTATGAAACTAAGTGTAGCTAGATGTGCTGGTTTACGCTGATCGTTGGCTACATGGCTAGTTGGTTAAATTTGTGGCCAACGACTGCGCACTCTACGTTGGATCATCGGTGAAGTGGTAGCGTCATCTAGATCAGGCGCTAGCCGTGGGTTCGAGCCAGAGCGAGCACAGTTTATTTCTCGATGCCACCGTTTGGCAGTTCTTGGTAACCGTCGAAGGTGGCGCATCAGCAGGGCCTTAAAACTAACTCTGGGTAAACCTTACATGGAGTATGCTGAGGCCCTATAAATTGTAGTAGGATAAATCGGATTAACTCGAGATGTGGTACAATGGCGACATTCTTTCCAACTTGAGTTGGGAATGATTTTCTTGCGTTTTTAAATTTTTTTCGGCTGGGCAAAGGATTCTGAATTCCTAATATGAAGTTGTGCAATATCAATTTTGCTTGCAACTCACCAATGAATATTTTATATTCAGCAGGAATCTTTGATGCGATGAAGGCGATTTTAGTTTTTGTTTTGATGCTGGCGTCCGCCGCTCTTGGCAGTGAAGGAAATGAAGCCTCGACGAAGGCGTCTCATGAATTAGGAATTATGAACAGGCTCAAAAATTCAGCCGCCATCGAAATTTCAACAGCGGTCGGCACTACAACCTTCGTCATTGACACTACAACCGGCGCCATGGAAAGTTCAACCGGCAAATTGGGAACTTCAACCTCCGCAATCGAAATTTCAAATTCCGCAAGCCACATTTCAACATGTGCAATGAAAACTTCAACCGGTGCCATGGAAACTTCAACCAGCGCCATTGAAATTTCAACCGTCAAATTCGAAACTACCTCGACCACTGCACCGCCAACCACCTCGACCACTGCACCACCAACCACCTCTACCACTGCACCACCAACCACCTCTACCACTGCACCACCAACCACCTCTACCACTGCACCACCAACTACCTCGGCCACTGCACCGCCAACCACCTCGACCACTGCACCGCCAACCACCTCGACCACTGCACCGCAGGATGAGCCGCAGGATGGGCCACAGTTTCGAGGTTCTGAAACGACTGATCCCTCCTCTGCTGGACACGCGTCCTCCGACTCCGCCCCAAAAGCTCAGACTCCTTCCTTGGGGAATTTTGCACCTGCACCCGACCAATCCTTTCCTGATTCTGAATTTGATAAGTTCCAGCCTGGTTCCTCCTATGGTTCTGACCCTGCCAAGTTCCAGCCAGGTTCTGGTTTTTTTAACTTGTCACATGACAAGCCTGAGACTACATCTGGTTTGACAAGACCCAATCCCGTCGTTGTTGAGACTGCAGTCGCTGTCAAGCTTGACAACAACGGTGAGTACAATGTATAATTTTAACTACGTATCACTCTCTGAAAACTTTTATTTAGTTTAATATTCTTTTCCTACATATTGGCGGTTGACAACGAGTTGACAGTTTCACCTGAACGTGTTTGACGGAAAAATCTAAATTACACAACTTGGATTAAACATTTCTTGAACTTGCAGAACATTCGACAACCTTGGCCTCCCAGCGGCCGGTGATCCATCGTGCAGTTACAACCACAAACGACCATCTGCCTGACTACCAGTCAAACCTCGACTCTACTCGTTCGACTGATGACCTATCCAATGTGACTCATGGCCTGCCCAATATAACTTACGACCAACCCAGTGTGACTGATGATCTACCCCAGAAGGCTTTCGGCCTACCCCAGAAGACTTTTGACCTACCCCAGAAGACTTTTGACCTACCCCAAAAGACTTTTGACCTACCCCAGAAGACTTTTGACCTACCCCAGAAGACTTTTGACCTACCCCAGAAGACTTTTGACCTACCCCAGAAGACTTTTGACCTACCCCATCCAGGTGGTCACAACCCGCTTTCAACAACGGTCTGGCAATGGCCCGTCTTGCTGGTAGAGGATTGCACGCGCATAAAGGTGAGAACGACATACCATTTTAATCAGACTATTGGTAGTGGTGTACTTTCCTGTTGTTGCAGATGGTGGCTCACCAATAATTATCGGCTAAATAATTTCACTTCAAATTTCGCGCTAAATTTGCCAATTGATTGTTGGAAACGCGTCTTTTGCTGGTCCTTTTTTCTGACACTAATTACTTTGGCAATAATTTCTACTGTTACAACTTGTACTCATTTCCAAACCCTTTAAAAATCTTCCAGGTTCCTTCCATACTCCCTCAAGAACCGGAACTCCCAGAACCGGAACCAAAGAGAACCTCTTCCTGAAGACCCTAGAACTCGCTAAAAAGGGCGTTAGCAAAGGCGCAGCGCTGCTCAAAGGTGCCTTGATCAAGGGCAAGGTCTTGGCGAAGGCGAAGGCTAACTTAATGAACATTAAGTCCAAGGTTATCAAGAATTATGTGAAGCCTCGCACCCTTCCTACATCGTCCCGGCATTTGGTCCCCTCACGTGCCGGTCAAGTTTATCCCCCGCTTCATTTTGGTCCAAAACTTGTGGTACCATCAGCGGTCCGCGGTAGATGGACGCGTGGTTAGTCCTCTGTCGTTACCGAGTTACTGCAGATACCATCGCGTGGTAACGTGACAAGGTTACCAGGAGAGCAGTTACCCAAGATTACCACTTTTACCACACCGTCGACTGGGGACATTGAGGCCTGCTAGATTTTATTCAAATCTAAGGAAGCAAATTTTTACGAGTTTAATTTTAAACGTCTTTTTAAATTCACTTCACTGATTACAGAAACCTCTCATTTGACATTTGACTCTTAGCATAGAATTTCGGTGTCATTTTTAACTTGGCCATTTTAAAATTTTATTCAATTTAAATACGTTAATATTTGCGTAGATTTTGAATTTTGACTAATGTGCTTATATTCCCAATAAAGTTTTCTCTTTAAAATTCATGGTTATTGATTAGTGTAAGCTTTGGTGTAAATATTAATTATAATTAATAATTCCATTTTAGATCATCAACCATGGTTGTTGCTGAACTCTTGCTGGTCGAAATTATTTTGAAAAACTCGATTAAATTATTAAATATTAACCTAATTAAATTATTAAATAAGATGATTGCTGAATTTTCCCCTTGACGCGCGATGTTGGACGTTTTTAATAAAAAAATGGCGACGAAATTGTCGATTCGCGTTATTTTCTTAACCAATTTTGGGTCAATAATGGTTGAAATATTTCGTGGAGCGACGAATTGAATAGCAAGTTATATTTCGTAAAAGGGTTGAAATATTACGTAGTTGCTTACCACGGTTATGCACATCAGTCAGTAGGATAGTTCCAACCGGATATATCAACCGTCTGCAATGCTATTCGTACCTATAAAGACCTAGTAATGCCATAGTTACCGTCAGAACACCGAGATTATTTAAATAGGTAGGTGATCTAGGTAACATCTACTTGGTATCAACGATGTCAAACTCTGGAAATATGAGTGGGTTTCTTTCATGATCATATACGTAGTGAACAATACACCTAACATTGTTATCCATTCCTGCCTCGAGTTGCCGAGACTCCCGTTACGATCACCTAACCAAATCAGCTTCCTCGCCAATTTTCCATTTTGAGTAGCAAACTTTCATAAATATAGCGGCGCCAGCGTTGGTTAGGTCGTGCGACCTGTTGCCGATTCTGAAAATCGCTTAATTTTCGCAGCTTGCTGCGGGTCCCGAACACGCAACTCACCGATCAAATTTTGCCGTGCTTAATTGCCTGGCCACTCTACCGATTTTGATCACAACTGTTACAGGTAGCTGGGATCGAACCCACAATTCTCTGCTTTAATCTTACTGCTCTTGAGTAGAACGACTGGGCCACCCTGATATCAATTGCCCAGTCGAGCGGTCAATGTGAAAGTTTCAATGTAGAGCAACCGACTGATGATACGAAGGCAATATATCACACTTGGTACGACTTAACCCTATACCACCTGGCATGAGTAACCGGAGCAATATTGTCACAAGCCTACTTCCCAAAAAGGATAGGAAACTTTAAAATAGTATAGTATAGTATCTTCGGCATTGAAGAATAGGCCTTCTTTTTCCACGCAAGACTTCTCAATCATAACCCTCTCGTTGCAACCGTGTCTTCTCATGCTGTAAGCTTGCTGTTCATTGTTCTTGCCGAGGTGAAGTACTTTACACTTGTCAGCATTGAAACGCAGCTGCCACGCGTCATCCCAATCAATAAACTATCAAGATCATTTTGCAGTTGCATTTCATTTGACGCATCCTTAACTGTATTATAAACTTTTGTGTCGTGGCATACATGGAGCACACAATTGTAACCATTTCTGGTAGATCGTTTATAAAAGCGACAGAAAAAATAGGTCCAAGAACGCTTCCTTGCGGTACGCCACTGCTCACAGTTGCCCAGTCTGATATGGTTCCGTTAATACTGACACGTTGCCTTCTGCCTACAAGGAAATTCCTGATCCATTGGAGTACATTTCCCTTTATTTCCAAAGAATTCACTTTACGTAACAGTCGCTCATGCTGAACATTGTCAGATGCTTTGGCAAAATCGCGGTACAGTGCATCCACTGGCTCCCTTTCGTCCAGCAGGCGAGTCCAATTATTCAAGGTAGACTGAAGATTGATTTCAGTTTTATGCAAACGTCTTCACGTTGCCACTCAATAGTTTGCGTGCAATCCTATTTGAAAGTTATGTTCCCAGAAAGTGACACACGACGGTAGAGGTTTAAATACTTCAGTGTACTTTGAAACATGGTCAATACATTTCTCGTGTCCTGTTAGAACTACTAAAAATGACGCGTATCCTGCATGCCTTTCGGAGATCACACTTGCGTTCAGCATCACAATGCCACAATACCCGGGAACAAAAACGGTTCATGATAATATTTATTTAACTGTACATTCAAGTATAGAAGGCAATTTGGCAATGCAAGTACAAAATTGACACATTTAAAATACCTTACTCAATCAGAAACTTCAATGTAGCTCCAGAAGCACGAACTACCGTGAGGCGAATACTGACAAGCTAGTTAGTTTCAACTAACAGTTACAAGTTAGCCGAACCCTCCACTAGTACAGCCAACAGGTTTCTGAATAATCCAGGTTCCTGACTTGTTAGATTCCTACTTCAGACGTAATCCTAACCGTGTAAGGTTAAAACTTGAGATACTGCCGCAAGAATAATTATTTGCAAGGTTCATAGAGTCATTGTACAGCAGCGCAGCTCAAACGATATGCAAGTCACAGTTAAAAGTCCTGAAACAAATATATATTTTCAATTAAAATTGGAATTTTCGTTGAACGCATGAAAAATTTACGTTTAAACGAGGATGGAATTTCCTCATCTCTTAAATAATTGAGCTTAGGCTGTGGATGTTTGGTAGTTAAAAACTTCCAGCCTGATCTAAAATCCTTCCGACCAATCTAATCTTTCAGACCTATCTAAAAAAGCGCACCAATTTCTACATTGGCGGGCATCTCGTAACATTGAGGAGCAGCTTCCTACATCGACAACCAGGCGGACTACTAAACTAGATTGTAAATTCTGTCCTCCGTAGGAGTTAATCCATCAGCGTTCGTTTCGTTTCCTTCCTCCGCGTCGTCCCATTTTTCTGTGGCCACACTATCCACAGGTCCAGCGTGGTGCGCCCAATGATTACTTCCATATGGAGGAGGCGGTCCATCAGGAATGAAACCATCAACAGGACCTCCTCCAAAGACTCCAAAGATCGGCTCGCCATCAGCATCGGCCATAGGACCTTCCGCCAGCCGCGACCTGTAGACTTCCTGCTGATGGGTGATGAACTCTTCAGCAGCGGAATCTTTTTTATCAACATGTGAGGAAGAGGATTCAACGTGTGAATGTTCAACAGATCTTTTGAAGCGACGATCGTGAACGTCAACATGGTCATAGTCGTAGATTTCCTCATCTGTGTCAAAGGGTGACCCAGAAAACCAACTGAAGGGGTTCAACCAACTGAAGACTGACGTTTGGGCACTAGAAGGGAGGGTACCGGTGATGGTCGAGACGGGCTGCGTGGGGAGACGGTACAAAAATTTACTTTTTGGATGAACCGCTCAGAAAATTTTTTGCAGATTCTAGAAGGAATATGCAGGATAAAATTCTAAAAGTCACGAGCGTTTTTTGTTCCGATCATGCGAGACCGATTTAAAACTTCACACTTCAGAATTTAGTAACTCACTCCAGATATATCCTTTTTATTGGAGGATTGTTGTACGTAGAGTGGCTTGGTATCCTCAGGTGGGCCATAGGTGTAGCGAGGCGTCTGAGGAGGTGGGCCGTACACTAGTGGTGGGTCCTTTAGCACAGGTGGGGCGGGCGCAACTTGCTTCTCAACGAAATGCTCCACCGGCAAAATCTGCACGGGCTGTGAAGGTACGAAATGCAGAGCCACTGTAGGGAGGGCCTGCGTCTTAATTTCGGATTCTTTATCTTCTTCATCTTTCTTGAACTTGGCTCCAAATTTAGCGAGTTTAGTCTTTGCCTTTGCCAAGAGTTTGCCCTTAAACAAGGCCGCCTTCAGCAGCGCAGCGCCTTTCTTTATCCCTTTCTTGGTAAGTTTTAAGGTCTTCAGGAAGAGGTTTTTGTTGGCCTTGCTCAGGGAGCCGGTTTTCGAAAGGGTGTCGAAGAAGCCACTAAGCGTATCTGTGAGGTAAAAACGAAAATAAATTTTCGTAAGTTAACATCTGAAGGAGTTTATATTCAGAGAAACTTGTGTGACAAGGTCCAAATAGCTATAGACCTCTAGCGCTTGCGTGGGTCATTCTGACGAAGACGAGCCCGATAAAGACGTAATTATCATACGTGCAGACAGTGCGTCACTAATTGGACAATATGACCAATTCTTATTCTCAGTGTGGCTAAGAAAGAACGGCTCTCGTAAGCCAGGAGATTTAGGTGAACGATTCAATTTTTAAAATTCAGAGCGTGACAACATAAGAAAAAAAATCTTGCTAACAAAATATTCCAACATACAAGGCAGTTTCAACGGTTCTCTGGCAGTGAAGTGGTCAGAAATTTCCAGCAATATAAGCTCCATAAGAATTTGAAACTAATTGAAAACCTCATTATGAAATGAACTAAAGGTTACTAAAGAGAGATTCTGTACTCACGGTGGAAGTGGTCATCGTTAGCCGCAAATGGAGCCTGATCATAAGTTAAGTAAGAGGACTGAAAGTGGGCCAAGTCGTGGTTAATAGGGACGGGAAATTGTGAATCCGACCCTACGGATACACCGCCATGTGCTTCAAGAAACTGGGTTTTGGTGTGGGACCGGGGCCCCATATCTGGGGGATGGCTTGTTCAAAAAGGGGGCCGGCGGGCCGTAGACGGGCGACGGGTTCTCAATTATGGCAGCCGGTGGGCCATAGACGGGCGACGGGTTCTCAATTATGGCAGCCGGTGGGCCATAGACGGGCGACGGGNTCGAACACGGGCGCAAGGGGTTCAAGGGGTGCCACATTTTCAACCGCTTGGAAGGGTTGGACCTGCAGAACTTGTGAAGGTAAGAAATATAATGACGCGGTAGGAAAAGTCTTCTGCTTCACTTCAACCTCTTCATCCTTCTTGAACTTTGACTCAAATAAGGCAAGCTTGGCTTTGGCCTTTGCCAAAAGTTTGCCTTTGAATAGCGCAGCCTTTAGCAGGGCTGCGCCTTTTTTCAGCCCCGCCTTGGTGATTTTAAGGACTTTCAGTAAATCTTTCTTCTTTTCCTTCGCGTCAGATCCGGCCTTCGCCAAGTTTTTGAAGAAATCTTTAATGCCTCCTGAAAATGATAAAAAATTACGGTACATAAATGAATTTAGCAACTTCAAATTGAAATGTACGTTTGTTCAGCAAATTTGGGAAACTATATTGAAGCAAAAATTTGTCAGGCTTTCATTATATTCAAGTTTTGATTTACCATAGCAAAAAATTAGGAATCAGATTTTGTAGTCATGCACCTAGAAATTAGGTTTTAAATTTCTCGCTGAAATTTATGGTAAAATTATTCAAATTTATTTCTCACCGAAATAGGAGTCTTCTTTAACCTCGCCAGCAGCAGCTATTGGCGACACTATAACAGCGTTGGCAGAGGGTTGATTGAAAGAAAAATTTGGCTGATCGTAATGAGACACCTTGGCCTGATCGTAATGAGACACCTTGGCCTGATCGTAATGAGACACCTTGGCCTGATCGTAATGAGACACCTTGGCCTGATCGTAAGACACCTTGGCCTGATCGTAAGACACCTTGGCCTGATCGTAAGACACCTTAGGCTGACCGTACGTCTGGTAGGAAGACGCAAGAACGGGCTGGTCGTACGTCAGGTACGACGACGTAAGAACTGGCTGATCGTACGTCAGGTAAGAAGAAGTGAGAAATGACTGATGGAAATGATGGTCATTGTGATGAAGAGGAACCGAATGCCGAGGTTCAGATCCAGGATTGAAGTCTTTAGGTGGTTGAGATGCCGTCTGGCCGTGCGAAAGCTTCGACACGAAAGTAAAATTTTCCTGGGTGGGGGCACTGCGGGTCTTAGGGTTGGAACTAGAGGAAGAATGCCGAGGAGTGATGTCAGAAGGCACTGTAGAAACTTGGGATTCGCTTTTTTCTAACTTCCTTGGTGCTGCGACTTCGGAATTGAGAACTGATTTGATAGCGCGGCTGGCATCTGCTATGTTTTCGCCGACATTCGACGTGGATGGGACGAGGTTAAGACCGACGGGGTGTTCAGTGGGGGCCAAAGTGACCGTTACGAAAGACCGTCCCTCGGCATCCTTAATCGGTAATTTCTCTTCTTCTGAGGTCACTGGGACATTTTTAACTAGTACGTCTCCTACTGGGTTCAACGGGACAACTTCAAGATGCGCGTCTTTAACGTGTGTGGCATTTTTTAGAACCACCGGGACATTTCTAACGGGTTCTTCTACCTTGGCGCCCTCCGGGACATTTTCAAAGGCTTCGTCTTCCTCGAGGGTCAACGTGTCGTTTGTAGACCCAGCATTGGAACTACTACTGGAGGTGGAAATGTTTGCTGGTGGCTGGGCAGCTGTGTTAGATGGAGATCCAGAATTGGAGTTGAAGGCGAAAATGTCGCCCAACAAGTTATCCAAGTCAAAACCGTCGTCCATGTTATCGAGTGTCTTTTCCAAGTCATTAACAAACGACTCTGCGTCCTCTGCAGAAAAGAACATAAACGCTTTGTGAGATTGTAGCTAGTTCTAGAGGCTAATGAGGAGGGCGATATAATATTTGGAATAAGCTAAAAACGGCTTAAGTACGTAGTGAATCTGGCAGACTTACAGAAATGCTGAACCAAGTAACATTAAATTAGGGAAACTAGTTCCGATAACATTCGAAAACCCGTTTTCAAAGTTTGGCCGTCGAAAATACTGTGACTAATGGCGAGGCTAGCATAGTTTTAGCGTTGATATCCGATCCTTTACCTCCATGCCAGTGCCGGTGACTTAAAAAGAGCTAGAGGAAACCCCCTTGTCATCAACGAAGGGAGGAGGCGTACGGAATCCATCACTTTCATTCCTAAGTGCCGACTCTGAAATTCTGAATCCATTTCGAGTCTCTGAATCGGTTGGGATCGTCGTTGCGGTTTCGGTTACATCCGTCCGGTTGGGTTGTTGATTTTCGTCCAGCGCCGAGTTCGCATGGGGGGCGCTGGTCCCTTGGAGGGCGACGGGGGGCACCGCCAGCACCAACACCAACACTAGCAATGCTCTCATCGGGGCTGTTGTATCTGCAGTGGTCTAAATAAATATATATTCGTTAGAAAGTATTCTAACTCAGGTTTCGGTTTCGATCTCGCTGTCATTTCCAAGAATCTAACCCTTCATAAACTGAATTAGTTCAAAGACTAATTTTCCTCCAAAATTAGGCATTAAAAATTATTTTAGACCTAAAAGACGCAAAAATGGCAGTCACGCGTGCCATGAGCGCCTTATCTACATAAAAATTTAGGTTTCACATTCTAGACCGCTAGTTCTAGAGGCTAGCATTTGCATGTAACAAAATCCCGCTCTAGCAAGAGGCTGAAAGTAGATTTACCAAAATGATTTAGTTTCCACATGCAGTCCCATATAGCCTATTCCCGACACGGCTTACACAATTGTCACCACTCGGCAGACACTGCACTAGATTCTACGTTCGTCAACTAAAACCGTATACTACAGCCAAAACTCTGACTTAGGGTTGACTTAGGGTTTGCCTGATCAAGCACATCGCGTAACATTGATAACTAATTTAACCTAACAACTACAGTGCTGTTTCGAAATTCACGCTGGAATTTTACGGTTCAGTTTTGTCAAAGTTCATTGCTGTGAGTGCGGTAGGTACGACTTTTAAATACTTATCGCCACTATTTACAACGGCATTAACCCCGTGTATAGGCGCTACTGGCCACTGAAGGAATCAATAGGCTAGTAGCAGGGTGATTAGCAGCGGTGTTTGATAGCTATAGTGGCGGCCATAAGTGGCCAACAGAACTTATAAATGGCGACCTGCAGCCCATTGTGTCAATTGGTATAAATCAATATATTACATATTGAGCGGAGTCTGACAGCGGAGTCTGACTGAACATATTAGATCAACACAATTGGTATAAATTAATATATAATAAATCAATAGGCTAGTAGCAGGGCGATTAGCAGCGGTTAGTGTTTGAAAGCAAGTGGCAAACAGCACTTATAAATAGTGACCCATGGGCGATGAAATATAGAGACCCAATGACTCGAAGATGGTGCGGTTCTCTACACTACAATTCTAGTAACTTATCGATATAAAATATCGAATTTATTCCACGTAACATTTTTCTTATCAAATTTGCATCTGAATAATCGACATTCTCGGTACGCTATTCACTATAGGGGTATATAACCGCTATAATTTCGTTCCCTTCCTATACCCTATAGTCTGCAGTGACGGCCAGGGAGGAACTTAGCAGTTACAATATAATTTATAAACTAGTCCACTATATGTTGGGGGAGAACATTCTATCCTGGACCTTCGCTTAGTCATTTATAGGAGTAATTGCAATTTATTCAATCAATTTACTTACGTAATAATATACTAATATTATACTGCTACTTCGGAACAGCGCCCCCGCCCCCCTGTTCCTACCACTCGTAATCGTACACGTTCTCACCTTTATAATAAATGTTCTTCGTCCGCCAGCCAGAGCTCGAGTGACGCCGGCAGTGAGGAGACGTACGACAGCAGGTGGACACGCACGTCTGGCACACGAGTTACCCGGCAGCCCGGGCGGTAGTTCAAAAAATTTTCACTTTATAGATTATTTACCCTGCCGCACTGTGTGTGTTTTAACCGTTAATAAATATTGAAAAGATTATTTTTTAAGTTTATACCATGGTTGAAGATATTTTGTCACTCCAATCACCTCCACTCCCCCGGAAAATTTATAGATGACTTAAAGAGGGGAAAGTGCTTTATATTGAAGCACTGAATTAAGACGAATAACTGTTTACAGCATTTATGGACTCAAACGCAAGCAATTAAGCTTACCGACCTAGGTCGGAATTAGGAAGAATAAAATGAACATTATTTATCAGTGACATCGTCTTTTCAGTGTTGGTGTTTAATTCTATGGTCTCGGCTGTTGCTGAGCTGAACTTATTCGGCTGGCTGTACACGAAAATTCTGGAATGGTCAATAGAATTTACACGGAGTAATAAATTTAGTGCATGATACATTATTTTTTTTGTATTATAAAATGATTAGGTACAGCGGATTTCCTTTAAATTTCAGCAGGCCACTTTGTAGCTGTCGTCTGTCGGAAAGGGTGGCCCAGAGGTTACTTTTAAAAGACCTCTCGGACAAAAACGCGGCCTGTCTCACAGCCGGTCTCACGGCCATGCCTCGAGAAATTCATCGTACATGGAAGATCTTCCAAACTACTGAACCGATTTTGATGAAACTTGGTATATAGATTTCTAATCACCTAGAGGTGATGTCTAGCCAGCACATATAAGACCACAGCGAGAATCCTCGCAGGTTAGTTCCAAGTCAGGTCTACTTCAACTACTTTCAGAGGACAGTAAACGAACCTTTCCTGACCAGGCTAACCTTGAGGTCCCTCACTTCCCCCCCATGGGGCACCCAAGGAGATCAAAGTCTCTTTGGCTGAGAGGGAAGGACCAGTAGTTTGGTAGATATTCCATGTACGATGCGTATTTTTGCTCGTATTACCGTATAAATCGAAAACGCGGGCGAAATCGCGAAAATTCACACGGGCTAGACATCACCTCTAGGTGGTCAGGAATCTATATACCAAGTTTCATATAAATCGGTTCAGTAGTTTGGAAGATATTCCATGTACGATGAATTTCTTGAGTCGCGGCTGTGAGACCGGCTGTGCGACAGGCCACGTTTTTGTCCGAGAGGTCTTTTAAAAGCATCAGGATTGTAGCAGTGAGCGGTGGGTTCGATTCCAGATACCTACGGCAAATCTAGCTAAAATCGACGAGGTAGCCGGATTATTAGGAACAGCAAGATTGTAGCAGTGAGTTGCGGGTTCGAAACCAGCAAGTGGCCCAAATTTGGCCTATTCGATGCTGACAACGCCACTACTACCTTTACTATCAGTTGACAACCCACATTATGTACGCACAGTAACACCTGATAAATCATGATGGTCTGCCACTACCGCATCCTTCCTACCCGAGTTAAGTTCTTCATGAGTAATTTATTTTAATACTATTCTTATCGGAATTTTCTGTGTTTGATCCTGGAAATAACTTGTGAATTCATAACGATATTGACCGTATGATATATCAATCATAGAAATGTAAATTTTACATGAAAGTATGAGAAAAAAAAATTGGTAATTAAAATGACGCTCGTTCGTCGCATTTTCCAATGTGTTTCGTGCATTTTTTATCATACATTATATTGGAATGTCGTATTATTTATATATGGAATTTTATGTTATTTATTTATTTCGACTTATTTAGAAATGATCACACGTTTTATGACTGTCTGTGGTACTGAAAATTTTCTATTACCTTCTGACTGCGAGCAGTGAAGGATTGCCCTAAGCCTGTTGTTAATGATAAAGCTCATTATTTATGTACAACAATTTAATAATGTCCCCTCAAATCCATACATTAAATTCACATTGAACTCTAATAATATTCTCGTTAAAAAATATAACACGAATAATTTTTATCTCTCGAATTAAATCTACATAGGTATCCTAATTATATATTTAATTCCAATGTTATCGTTATGATTCCAAATGAAGACATAACTCATCATTCAACAATGTAAGTCTTTTGAATTAATATGAAAGTTCCAATACTCTTTCGCGCAGTCCACTTGATTAAGTTAAGACATAATCGAGTATCATTAAATAAATATAAACTTTTATTAGGAATTTTGGAAACAAATTATCATTATTACTTTATTTACGGACAATTTTATTGGGTCGTAATTTTCCATCTTCTTGCCAAATTAAGAACTGAATGGTTCCCGTAAAAATTAGGAAGAAATTGTTTCAACGTATTTTCTAAATTATCAATGTTTCATAGTATGCGTTTCTCCTATTGAATACGATAGTTCAGTATTTATATTTCTTTCGTTAATTTCTGAACAAAAATCGAATTATTTTAAGATGCAAGAAACATATGACTTATATGCGACAATCTAGCGGTCAGCTTCCCGGCAACTTGTGCAAACACATACAATTTTAAAAAAATAAACCAAATATACATTGCGATCAAAATTTGCGGAAGAATCTGTAAAAGACTTCCAACGGTAATTCTTGTTTTTTTATTTTTCACTTCATTCGAATGTTAAGCGCCGTCTCACTAACAGACGTTTTTAATTTGAAGAAATCGAGCCTATCCATTAAAATTATTCTTAGATTCAATTATTTAGGACCATGAGTTTAGGATTCTCCTATTTATTTACTTATTTATATTTTTTTCACCGACCGCCTATTGTATAGCAGTATTGCCAGATGGGCCTTTTTCAGGCCAAATTTTGCAAATGTGGCCTTTTTGAAATGCATTGGCCTGACAAAAATTTATTTGGCCATTTTGTCCGTTTGAGGCATTTTTTATGAAAAATGTAATTCTCGTTTTTTTGTGATAATTTGATCCTTCAATTTTATCCAAGATGAGTACACCCAAATTTAATTTTGCCCAAGACGAGTACACTCAAATCCTGACACGTAACTGCGTCAACACACACTTTAGGTGGCAACACTAGCGAGTGCCGCCTAATCCGGGCAACACTTTGGATGAACCATGGGACTAAATCCAGTTGCCGACTCGTATTAATAACCATGGATGGCAGAGCTGACAGCGCACATAATCGAGTTTAGTTTTCACTCCTAAAGAGTAGTAAATTCAGCATTAATTTTTGAGGTTACAGCGCTGTTTCTTCATACATTCAGCCTTCTGATGTGAGTCACCACCAAATTTCACTTTGAATAAATATAATTACTCCTCTCCGAATTATGATGGGCAATATTTTTTTCTACGCATTCAAAAGTTGTGATAAATTTATAGGATTGACTACTAATATATACCTTAGTCTTGCAAGGACCACATCATTTATACCTCAGAAATGAGTTTACTTTTATTTTCATTTCCGCGTATAAATATTCTACCATCAATACCAAAAAACTTCGCCACATCACTAATGTCGGCAGTCGCCTGCCACTTCAGTGACTTCACTATCTATAAACCTTCGTCGGTGCTGCGCCGTATCTTAACCAAGTAACCATCACTATCTATTTTGTTAGCAAGCTGAGCCAAAATTCTCTAACGCGATCGAAAAGCTTTATAGATGTAAGGTGGCAATCGATTCCTAAATATCATAGTTTTGGACCTGTATTATACGGTTTTATTGACGGTCAGCGAGCAACGTGCAATTCGCTGCAGGCTTATGAGTTATGTAGCATTGACGGTAATTCAGCTCGTACACTTGCGTGACTTGGCGAAATTGGTGTATTTTTTCTGTCTGAAAGCCTTGAGATTAAATGCATGCACTGCAAATGGTTAGAACTACCTTAAATTTATTTTTTTTACTAATTTCTAATGTACATTTCGTGGCCTTTTTTGTGAGCTAAATTGGCCTTTTTCACTCGGCTCCTCTGGCAACCCTGCTGTATAGGCCGTTTCGTCGTCGTACTTACCCCTCCCACTCATCACCGTTGCTATGAACATATAAACTCTCGTCTTCCGTGAGTGCTACATCTCAAGCTAAATATTTCTTCAATCTTTACTGATATTTTAAGGCAATTTTTGTTCTTTTCAAAATTGTCTATCTTCGTATCGTAATTCTTGAGAAATCTTAGATCATAAATTATTTTTAATTAGTAAAATCATTATTAATTTATCATTCAAATTAATGTGGAACTTTTGGTAGTGATTCGGTCGGATGCCGCCATTGCCGCGTAATCTTGATGCTGAATGCTGATGTTGACTTAGAGAAGAACCAAATCGGGCACGGGCAGTTGGGCACGGATTAAAGTTTTGTTCAAATTGGACGCTATTTAAGAGGTATTGAGGTAAAATATATTATTTAATCTCTAACGAACTTAATAATGTGATATGTGACAGTGTAGAATCATTTTCTAATAGGCTGAATAGCAAAATATTATATATTTAAATTGCCGTCAGTCCGTCACAGCCGCCGTCCGCCGAGCCCAAGGGGGCAAGGCGCTATCGTCGCCATAGCTCCTGTCGCCGGCTAGAAATTAGTACCTTTTTTTAACGTAACGTCAACATTCTAGCAAGATTTAAAGATGTTTTAGTTATTATGTAGTAGGTCATAACTCCAATTTGAAGTTCATATGAAATTATACTGTTTATTTTATCAAATAAACTTCAGTCTGCAGCAATGGCTTTCAGCATGGCGCTCGGCTGTGGTGTGCTGTGACGAATCTCACGTTATCAAGTTGACAGTGAATGTTCTTTTTTTGAAGATAGCCAGAGTGAAATTCTAGGAATAGTGGGCTACTGGGCCTATGTATTCAATTTAGCCTGGTAACTTGATCTATTCTGAAATCTAAGCTAAGTATGAAAAGAAAAAATAAGTTAAGATTTTCAAATGCAATATGATATGAGCATTTGTTCAAATATTACGCCATCTGAATTCCACGTCCACCTTTTATTATTTTATGATCTATTATTTGGTAGCACCGTAGCAGCATTGCAGGATAGAGGCTTGTCCATTCTTCATACATAACTCCTTGGATAACATGATGCATGAATAGGCTATGATTTGCTTCTAGGAAAAATATCTAATTTTTTCCACAATTTGATTGATTAGGGAGGTACCAAGAATTTAGAACCTAAATCTGACTATTTGACGTTTTCTTTGCTTTGAAATTCCTGATGAACTTGATGTTGCCCATGTTGGTGATTTACTACTTTTGGTGACAGACTGATTGTTTCATTACACTTTCATATACTATATACATTAATTCATTAACATAAGACAGAAGGTATAATAAATGAAGTTATGAAGAACTGCTAAAGATGAAATGAACGTCTCACAAGGGATCCAATTTTCAAAAATCCATAACTGGATTACTGGATCCACCTTGACTTCTGCCATAACTTGGTTGATGCATTTAATTCAAACAAGTTACTCAACTTGATTGATTTGAATTGATGGAGCACATTTTCCAGAGACCCAGAATTCCTATTTATATTTATTATTGTTATTTAATTCTAAATTTCTTATTTAAAATTATAAATTAGTTTCATAATTTCATTCTCATTTCTATGCACTAACTTGGTGGAGTTGGTGCTAGCCTCTACTCCAAGTGAGATTGAAATTCAAAATTGGTGGCCAGGGTGGGAAAACATTTATTATTCTTAGCTAATTTTTCAATGAATTTTCAGATAGAATTTTAAAATATTTCTTATTTGCACTTGTTAGTCTTGCCTATTCAACAATTCAAAGCCATGGTGGCTAAGAAAGACTAATTATTTCTAATTTTATAAATTTTTTAGACTTGTATCATTGACGAGATGACTCGGATCAGTGACTTGGACCATTTTTAGCGCTTACCTCATTTTTAAATAAATAGTTACATTATAAATATATAAAATAGATATCTCTTTATTGAATTTCTAGATTATCTCGGGTTACTTCACGGTCATCAACACAATTTTTTGAGGACAAGAAACTTTTTAGTATAGGGTTTTCTTTTCTAAAATGTTCAAACAAACCAAGTGCGGTCAATGGTCCAAGTCACCCTGTTTGCAATTCAATATTAGTGGTTGCAATGTTCAAGGTTTATATGCTGTCATTTTATTTCATGTCATAGTGATAGGTCATGAATGACTGTAGATCAAGTTTGGGAACATAGATGTTTATGAAACATCAAAATTGAAGCTGTTTTGTTTAGAACTTAGATCACAATAGGATTTATTAAAGGCATACACTAGATATATCAGTTGTACTTAACACCTTGACTTTGAAGTGGTACATATGTGTACCACGAAATGTATTTCACCAGGACGTAGTGGTACATAATTCAGGTTGCCTTAAATCAGCCAAATCCGAGAACAGAAAAGGACGATAACTCAATATATACTAGTTTATTTGTAGGTTCTGCCATAAAAATTCCATTTATTTTCTTTTTGCTGTATTTAAAATTTAATTAGGAAGTACCCCTATCATAAATTTTAGCCGGCCAACGCAATTGAGAAAAACTTAAATCACGGAATTTGTCCGGAAAAAATGACCGTCTGGCAACCCTATTTAAAAACAGTACAAAAAATGAAATAATAGTACAAGATGAAGCAATTGTAGTCAATGTGTTAACACTATGTGTTGCCTAACAACATTTCTTGTCAGTTGAATTTAAAGAAGTTTTTTTATGGCCTCTCAATTTGCTTGTGACTCTAACATTTAACTGTATATATAATATGTTTTTATCTTCATTTATTTCTTATTTTGAAATAAATTTCAGAATTCTCATTTTTCCAATTTCTTAGAAGCAAACTTTCCACACAACCTTCAGTTGGCCACTGCACACTGTAGAAAGACTTGCTGAAATATTGACCTGAATTTGATTCTGGATTTAATTTAGTTCTTATTTCTAATTTGTATTCAATGCAAGTGTAGAATTGTGTTCAGGTTTTGCCATTTGCAAAGACTTTGATGCTGCTGCTGAAGTGATATCTACAGATGAATACTCCGTTTAGTATTCTGGATCATTATTTTGAAATAAATAAAAATTAGTGGTCCTCATTTTGAATACTCATAGAAGTTCAATGGAATTGGCATGCCTCCTAGCTACAGTGCTCTGTGCCCCTTAGCTCCAGGTCAGTGTGACCCTTAGCTCCTCTGCTCCATACCCCTTAGCTCCTCTGCTCCATACCCCTTAGCTCCTTTGCTCCATACCTCTTAGCTCCTCTGCTCCATACCCCTTAGCTGCACTTCTCTGTCACCCTCCCAAGCCTAGGCTGGCACAAGTTATCACATCATACAGGACATGTACAAGTGTCCCTGGTGTCCGTCTATCTCGACGTCCGCGTCCCACATGACCCTGCATCTGCTGGATGATCACCAGGAGCATTTCTCAAGAAACTTGCATAATTTTCCAGCAGTTGATGCCATCATGAAGACAGAAAGTTCATGTGTGGCATTTGGAGATGTGTTGTCTTGTGAAGAAAATGCTAATAATGTAAGCAATGAGTTTATAGCATCTAATGAAGACAAGGGAGACTGGAGTGTGGCAAGAATTGTTGAAGAAAACTGTATGCCTGAAAATTTTTCACAAGGACAAGCATTGCAATCTGAGAATGATTGGTTAAGTTTAGTTATAAGTTCTATTAAGGAAGATGAGTCTGATGGCTACACTTTTGCCATGCCTGTGACACTTGCCGAGTCTGTCGTTGATGGCTCTGATAATCTTGCTGAGACTGTGCAAAGTTGGTGCAGTCACTCAAATGAAACTATTGATGTTTCTGGACAAGATGATTTAGAAATGGCAGTTGAAGGAGAGAAGCAAGATTCTGAAGAGCCTGCTGCTGTATGGGATGAAGTTAAAATGAATGATGTTGCTAATGACTTCTCTGGAGACCAAGATAGTTCAGGAGAAATCATTATGAGTTGTACTACTGATAATTCTCAGCTTAATGAAAGAGTTTTTTATAAAATTGATGACAAATTTCTTGATTTTGATGCATCTGTTGTGCCTGCTTCTGAGAAAAAAGACCAAAACTATCACAATAATGAAGAATTTTCTGCTCCGTGTCTGCCACACGCTGATACAAATCCTAATCTAATTGTGAGTGATTCAATGAAAAATATTGATATTGCTGCAGGTTCTTCCTTCTGTGGAACTGTTGAATTAGAGACGCTTAAACCAGCCTCAGTGCATGCCTACAATCCCCTGGCCAAGCTCTTCCAAGGAGGTAACTATTATAATAATTATATTTCTGAAGGTTCTGAGATAAATAATACCATGAGCAGCAGATTTGTATTAAACAATGCATCTAATTCTGATGGTATTCCTACAGTCAGCAACATGGAACAAAACTACCAGAATATTGATGAAAATAATTGTTTATTGTTTCGAGAGAAAGACAAAGCATTCATGTTGGAAGAAGTTTTTTGTAAAGTTGAACCAGAAAGCAACTTTACTAGCTTGTCTGGAAGTGAAGGCGAAGTCTACTCAACCAGCAATGATTGTTCCTTAGTCTTCGATGATGTGGAATGTTTTCAAAAACATTCTGCCAGACATGCAGGAAAAGCATTGATGAGATGCACTCAATGTAACTACAAGTGCTCTGACTTAGCCAGCTACTACATACACCTTGCTGGCCACTACAGGGAAGAAGTGCATTCTTTTCAACAGGAAGAACCAAAATTTCACAAGTGTCTAAGAATAAAGAGTAGTAATAAAAGTTCTAACTCCAGAACACCTTCTCTTTTGGCCAAGAAAACACAGAAGAAAGCATTTGAATTTGATCTATCAAAGGAAGAAATATATGAATTTAATGAAAATCAATGTCAAGCAAACGAGGTTACCTCAAAAACTGTTCCTAGAAAATGCAATTTTGATCGAGTTCACCTGAAATCAATGACAATGGATCCACTTAGGACCTCAAAAGCTGATGAACACAAGAGACGTGCATATGCTAAGTGTTTGTCAAGGAGTTCCTCATCCAGTGAGTCGCTTTCTATCGAAACTGAAACTCCAGGTTCACCAAAGATAGAAATAAAGAAACCAGGCTCCCAAAAAAGGAAAAAGTCACTCTTGAAAGCCAGAAAAATGGCAAATATAAGCCTTTGTGCATCAAAGTCTCCAAGCCAAAGCCTTGGCCCATCAAAGGCCCAATGCCTTGACTCGCCAAAAGCCATACGCCTTGACTCACCAAAAGCCATCTGCCTTGACTCGCCAAAGGCCATACGCCTTGACTCACCAAAAGCTATACGCCTTGACTCACCAAAAGCCATACGCCTTGACTCACCAAAAGCCATACGCCTTGACTCACCAAAGGCCATATGCCTTGACTCGCCTAAGACCCAAAACCACTGCCTTGACCCACTAAAGCAAAGCAAGCAGCTGAAGTGCCCACACTGCGAGTTCATCACCCTATGGCGGGTGAGTTTCAGCACCCACTTGCAGCTGCACACTGAGCGTGCCCACCAGTGCCCCCACTGCCCCTTTGCCACCAAGCGGGCAGACTACTTGCCCCGCCACGTCAGGAGGATGCATGGGGTGGGTTACTATTGCTGCCAGAGATGTGACTTCNTAAGTTACTGCACTTTCTTCTAATTTAGTTCCACACATATTACAAATTTAGGAAAAATATGATTTTATACAATTATGTATGTTTTGGACATACATTTGTATCATCCTGAGTTAACTCTTAACATTTCTTCACCTTTTTAAAGGGTAATTTCAATCGTGTTCATCTCTATTCAAGTTCTATCTAATGTTTATATGTTCAGGAATTACTTGTCATATGAAATTTGACAATAATTATGAATATGCTGAACATCATCTCTCATTTTAAGATATAATGCAAGTGTGACTTAGTTTAATTAAAGGTTATTTAATGAAATATATATTGCATGGTAGTGTCTATGAAAAGCTTCAAAGTTTTTTTTTCATCAAGTCGCACTTTTGCTTCACCTTTCAACTACGTATATGTTCTGGGTGGTTAAGTTTTTGAGATTACAGTAATTGTATCAACAAATTGGGGGTTTGAAACCTGTAGATACTTGTAAAAATTATTTCAAAATTTGCATAGCAGCTAAGGCAGTTAGAGCTGACGCAATATGTTGTATTATTAAATTATTGTTTATTAAATAATATTATTGTGTTATATTATAGGAAATTGTATAATATTATATTGTATGTAATTAATTCTGTATAATATAATTAATTATTAATCATATGTAATTAATCGTGATTAATGATTGTACTTTATTAATCTATTCCCCCGTTGCAGGTGCGGAGACACCCGCTGCTTCACCCGCTGCTTCACCCGCTGGTGTTACCCTGGCCGTAAAGCAGTCAAGTGTGAGTATATCTTTACCTTCCTTTAAACTGTCTCGCTTCAAAATGTCTCGCTTCAAAATGTCTCGTTTTAAAATATCTCGCTTTAAAATGTCTCGCTTTAACATATCTTGCTTTAAAATGTCTCGCTGTAAAATTCCTCACTTTAACATATCTTGCTTTAAAATGTCTCGCTTTAAAATGTCTTGCTTTAAAATGTCT